ATAAATTATAAGAATAATATAATTAAGAAAAAAAAATTTTGATTAATAGGAAAACATTAAAAAAAATATACATAATTTTATTTAATTTATTAATTTAATAAATAAAAATAATATATTTTTTAACTTTCTAATATCAATTTATTTTACAAAATCAACTTAATTAATTACGTTTAATAATATATTTTTATACTTTTTTTTATCATTACATTTAGAATTATTAAAATTTTTTCGCAAATAAAACATTTCAAACTCATTTTACATCTAATGATATGAATTTTACAATTATTTTCATCTTTTTTTATTAACATTTTTTTTTATTTAGAATTCTTTTAATTTAAAAATATCAATTCTTTTACATTGTCAAGTTAATTATTTATTTTAATTTTTTGTTACACTTGTTCTTACTTTCTGTTTCATTTATAATTATTATAACTCTTTCTTAAAGATTACGACGTCAAATGATATCAATTTTATGATTATTTTACTTTTTTTTACTTTATTACTTTAACACTTATTTTTTGTTTGAAATTATTTTTTATTTATAATAATAATTATTTACGTTACCAATTTAATTATTTACGTTATAATAATATGTTTTGACACTTGTCTTTATATTTTATTACATTTAGAGTTATCGTAACTTTTTTCTTAAGGTGTTACAACACTTTTAATACATTTTATGCTAAATAATATAAATTTTATGATTATTCTCACATTTTTATGTAAACACTTACTTTTTAATTGAATTATTTTTTATTTATAATAATAATTATTTTATATTGTTAATTTAATTATTTACATTAAAGTATATTTTTTATGCTTGTTCTTATATTTCATTACATTTAGGATTATTACAACTTTTCTTTAGGGTATTACAATAGTTTTAACCTCTTTTACACTAAATAATATTAATTTTACGACTATTCTCACATTTTTACTTACGAGACTTTTAACACATTTTATATTAAATTATACCAATTTTACAATCATTCTCACATTTTTATGTTAACACTTATTTTTAGATTTAAAATTATTTTTTATTTATAATAATAATTTTTTATGTTGTCAATTTAATTATTTATGTTACAATAATATCTATTACGTTTGTTCTCACATTTTATTATATTCAGAATTATCATAATTTTTTCATAAGTATTACGACACTTTAAACATATTTTATGTCAAATTATATCAAATTTATTATTATTCTCACTTTTTTACTTTTAACACTTATTTTTTTATTTAGAATTATTTTTATTTATAATACTAATTTTTTTACCTTACAAATTTATTACATTTCAATAATATATTTTTACATTTGTTATTACTTTTCATTACATTTAAAATTATTAAAATTTTTTTGTTAAGGTGCAATGATATTTCAAATCATTTTACGTAAAAGAATATCAATTTTATGATTATTCTCACCGTTTTATGTTAACTCTTATTTTTTGTTTAAATTATTTTTTATTTGTAATAATAATTTTTTTACACTATCAACTTAATTATTTATGTTATAATGATATCTTTTTACACTTATTATTATCTTTCATTACGTTTAGGAATATCATAACTTATTTTTAAATGTGTTACGATACTTCTAACCATTTTACGTCAAATGATATCAATTATATGATTAATCTCTCTTTTTTTTATATTAACACTTATTTTTTATTTATAATTATTATTTATGTATAATAATAATTCTTTTACATTGCCAAAAATATTATTTAAGTTATAATATTATTTTTTATACTTGTTCTTACTTTTTATTATGTTTAAAATTATCACAACTTTTTATTAAGGTGTTACGACACTTCTAATCTATTTTATTCCAAATGACACAAATTTTACGATTATTCTTATATTTTTATGCTATAACATTGTAATATATTTTACACCAAGTGATTTCAATTTTTCAATTATTTTCACATTTTTACATTAACATATTTTTTGTTTAGAATTATTTTTATTTATAATAATAATTTTTTTATGTTATCAACTTATATTTACGTTACAATAAAATTTATTACATTTATTCTTATCTTTTATTATGTTTAGAATTATCACAAGTTTTCCTTTTAAGGTATTACGATACTTTTAATATATTTTACATCAAATGATATTAATTTTACGATTATTCTCACATTTTTATGTTAACACATATTTTTTAATTAAATTATTTTTTATTTATAATACTAATTTTTTTACGCTATCAATTTATTACATTTTAATAATATCTTTTTACATTTATTGTTACTTTTCATTACGTTTAAAATTATTATAATTTTTTTTCTTAAGATGTAACGATACTTTTAATTATTTTACGTTAAATAATACAAATTTTATGATTATTCTCATTATTTTGTATTAACTCTTAACTTTCAAATTTAAAATTATTATTTTGTTTGTAATAATAGTTCTTTTATATTACCCACTTAATTTTTATGTTATAATAATATTTTTTTTACGTTTATCATTATCTTTCATTACGTTTAAAAGTATTATAATTTTTTCCTTAAAGGTATTACAATACTTCTTACTATTTTATGCTAAACAATATAAATTTTATAATTACTCTTGCCTTTTTTATACTAACACTTATTTTTTTTATTTAGAATTATTAATTATTTATAATAATAATTCTTTTACGTTGTCAAAAATATTATTTATGTTACAATAAAATTTTTAACACTTGTTTTTGCTTTTTATTATGTTTAAAATTTTCACAACTTTTTGTTATGGTGTTACGACAATTATAATTCAATTTATATCAAGTGATACCAATTTTATAATTATTCTTATTTTTTTACGTTACAACATTTCTAACATACTTTACGCCAAATTATTCCAATTTTAAACTTACTCTCACTTGTTTACATTAACATTTTTTTTTTGTTTAGAATTATTTTTTATTTATAATAAATTTTTTTTTATATTGTCAACTTAATTATTATTTTATAATAATATTTTTTACGCTTCTTTTATCTTTTAATACGTTTAAAATTATTAAAACTTTTTCTTAAGGTGTTATGATATTTTTAACACATTTTATACTAAAATATCAATTTTACGATTATTTTTATCTTTTTAAATTAAACTTATTTTTTGGTGTAGGATTATTTTTTATTTATAATACTAATTTTTTTCATTACCAATTTAATTATTTATGTTTTAATATTTTTTTTTTACACTTGTTATTATTTTGCATTACGTTTAAAATTATTATAATATTTTATTAAGGTGTAACAATACTTATAGCCATTTTACGTCAAATAATATTAATTTTACTACTATTCTCAATTTTTTACATTAACTTTTATTTTTTGTTTAAAATTATTTTTTATTTGTAATAATATTTCTTTGACATTGCCAATTTAATTATTTTTATTATAATAATATCTTTTTATGCATGTTGTTACTTTTCATTACGTTTATAATTATCATAACTCTTTGTTAGGATGTTACGATACTTTTAATTTGTTTTACGTCAAATGACACTAATTTTACAATTTTTCTTACTTTTTTTTGTTAATACTTATTAATTGTTTAAAATTATTTTTTGAGTTTAAGATAATAATTCTTTTATATTGTCAACTTAATTATTTACGTTACAATAATATATTTATACGTTTGTTCTTACTTTCATTACATTTAGAGTTATCACAACTCTCTCTTAAGATGTTACAACACTTCTAATATATTTTATACCAAATGATATCAATTTTATAATAATTCTCATATTTTTATGTTTCATTTAACTTGTTTATGTTACTAGTATATTTTTAAGTTTTAGCTATTTTTCTTATATGTTTAAAAAATAAATAATTAAAAATTTAAATTGACAACTTAATTATTTACGTTACAATAATTTCTTTTTATGATTGTTCTTACATTTAATTATATTTAGAATTATAATAGCTATTTTTTAATATATTATAATACTTTTTATCCATTTCATATAAAATGATACATACAAAACAGTAATTAATCAAAATTTTATATTGTCATCATAATTATTTACATTACAATAACATATTTTTACGTTTATTCTTATTTTTCAATATGTTTAAAATTGTCATAATTTTTTCTTAATATGTTATTACTTTTCTTACATATTTTACATTAAATGATATGAATGGTACGTTTCTTCTCACTTATATATGTTATCTATTTTTTTTATTTATTAAATATTTTTATATATTTAAAAGAATAATAATTAATTAAAATTTTACATTGTTAATTTAATTATTTAAATTTTAATAATATTTTTTCATAATTATTTTTATATTTTATTATTTTAAAAATTATCATAACTCTTTCTTAGATATTACAATACTTCTAATATATTTTATGACAAATGATATAATTTTTATAGTTCCTTTTACCTACTTACGTTATTAAATTTTTTATTAATTTTTAATTCCAAAATATTATTTCTTTTATATTTTTTTTATCCTTGAAAGTATTTTAACTATTTTTTATATATTTATAAGAAAAATTATTAATTTAAATTCTCATTATTAACTTAATTATTTATATTAAATAATTCTTCTAATGCTTTTTTTTATTTAATTATGTTTAAAATTTTTCATAATTCATTTTTTAGCATGTTACGATACTTTTATCTTATTTTACATAACTTAGTATAAATTTTATTATTTTTCTCATCTATTATGTTAATAATTATTTTATTTTTTTTAAATATTAATTCTTTTAGATTAATTTTTTTCTTTTATGTTAATATTTTTTAATTTCTTTAGAATTATTTTTTTATTTTATAATACTTTTTAACTATTTTAAAAGATACCAATTACATTAAAATTTTTAAAAAACAAGAATATTTTTAATTATTATTATTTTTTTAAGAAATTTCATAAACATGTAATAAAATAAACAATAAAAAACTTTACTTAAAGTGAAAATTATTTAAATTTTGTATAAAATTTTATAAATTTTGTTCTATAATTTCATTATCTGATAAATAAGTTTTACCCTTCTCAACTTTAAAATTTAACCGATAGTTGATTATTTAACTATATAAATCTAATGGTTATTTCTTTCTGACTTTATTATAAGACTAAAAAACTTAATATAGAAGGCCCCATTTCTGGCCTTAAAAAGGATATAACCCCATCCTGCATGCTCCATTTTCTACTTCTAGGATCACAGGTAGGTCAGCACACTTGATTCTCACCGCCATATTAGATATAAGCAGAAATGATACATTCAATTTAGCCAAAACCATGTTTTCCAAATCCTACTTCAGCCTGTTACCATTCTTATTTATGAACAGAAATAAGTTGGCCTGATAATCCAATTTAACTCACCAACATTGAAAAGTAGCGTATAATCAACAATAACAAGACAAAGAAGCGTATAACAACATCCCATAATTAACAAATTGGCGGAACTCGCGTCAATGATTGAAACTGTAAATCAGTATGTATTATACGAGTCACTGTATTGCAAGCAGAAAGCCACACCAAATAATTCTTGTAGAAAACGGCAATGTGAAAGAGGGGGTTTCAGTGCAAAATGAGCTTTAAAATAAGGCACATCAAATTCAATCAATTTCCATTTAAAAAAGAGGTTAAGAGAAGGACGAGGAGCACCATTTAATTGCGCTTAATTCAGCCAAAATTGCCAAAAACCACATTTTTATACCATGCACTGAATACTATCCCTTAAATTCCCAATGAACACAAGTATATTAGTATCAAAATCATGTAATGCCATGAATCTGGCTTTTCAACAGATTGTATTTAGTGTGACATTGACATAGCATCTCCATGATTGATAGATTTACTACGACTTTGTTGCTTTGCCCTTAAAATAATCCTGAACACTTCCACCATACTAGAAGCTGGCAAATTAAGAAATAAGTCTGAACTGCATACCTATTAAGAGAAGAGGAAAGGGGATGCTGAACGACGATAAGAAGAGACTTCCTGGTGTGTTTTAAACCAACCTTTCAGCTTCGCACCTTTTCACCAACAGCAAATGGCATCAAAGAGGTTCATGTTGTTGGCCTTGTCATAGTAGATAAACCACGCCCAACAGGAATAACTCCCTGAAAGCGTTCATTTGATTCCTCCTCTTCTAAGGAAGCTGCACAGAAATTTATAAGAGAAAACAAACCTCTTCTAAGAAACCAGGATTAAGACATAGTCCTTAAAACTTAAAATAATTAAGGCTTCGTTTGTTTCATGTTTTTGCTATTTGCTATTTGCTTTTCTTGTAAAAATGAATAAAAAGAAAATAGCAAAAAATAAATAATGAAGAGAAAAGCAAAGAAAAGAAAAGACAAGTAAAAAAAAGCAAAAAGAGCCTTAAAGATTGTGGTTTAGGTTTAGTATAAAACTAACTTAAGAAATTGTGATAACAAAATGTTTTTTAAGTGAAATTTATATATTTTGAGAAATTGTTGTGCATATTGTCTATATCTTTATTAAAAACTAATCAAATTATATATTAAATATAAATATATAACATATTTTTATATTATTGTATTCCATGTTTCCATGTCCTAACTTTTTAAATATTTTCATATCACGATATCCATTTTGTCTCATACCCGTGTCTCGTGTCTGTCTCTATGCTTCCTATCAAGTTTCCAGAAACTAGTTGTGATAACTCTATAAAACAGAGTTATTTAAACTTGTTTTCAATGCTTAAATAAAAGAATTTTGCTTAGTTCTTGGTAAAATAAGATGCTTTTTACTCATAAAATGCTTAATTTGATGATGTGTAGGTAATCTTGAGAAAAGAGGAATTCTTGTTAAATTTTGGAGATTGCTTGACCAATTCTTAAATTGGAAAAAATCAATTTGCCATTAGTTTTCCTACTTGAAGAAGGATTTCCCATTTTTACTTGGACTCCTAGTTTAACTAGGATATCCTGTTTTAACTTGGAATTCCTACCTTGACTAGTAGATCTACTTGGTGAAGCTGACTGGGGAAGGTTTTCCTAGGTTGACAGGTATGGGCGACACACTATAGAAGATGTATGAAACCCAAGTTGCAAGATAAGCTAATATGGTGTCTAAGGCAAGCCCAATCAAAGAGGTGGTCCAAATAGAGCCCAAAATACTATAAGGGTAAAGTTTGGCAGGCTGTTAACAAAATGGGCGACCCAATTCTCTTTTATTCAAGAAATCCTAATCCTAGTCCAAGAAGCACTTAAAAGATGCAAGGCCTAATCCTAGTTGAAGTTTGAAGGTTGTCAAGGGTTTAAAAGTAATTTCAAGACATTATTTTCTCTTTAAAAAAACCTAACCACATACCATTCTTCAATTTAAGAGATTTAAAGTTCAAGAAGAATTAAGCAGCTGCAACATTCAAGACTCTTTAAGCAGCATTAAGACTTAACTGTACAAGACTTTTTTCCAAAAAAAGAAGGTTAAAAGCAGCTCAAGGTCTTGACTTTGAGAGCTGTTTGAGACAGTTTAAAAGAGAACAAGTCTCTTCTTGATTCAAGTTAAAGGCTGCCACACCTCCCTAGTTGTCCCTTTAGGGTTTCTATGTAATCCTTTTCTATAAATAGCTAACTTAGGCATTAGGGAAAATCATGGACTTGGGGTGACAGACCAGTCCTTAATCTCATATTTTCTTTCATTGCTCTTTAGATTTTCTTTAAGTGCTTTAAGTTTTCTTTAAACAGTTTTTCTTCTGCAATTTAATTTCAAGTTTAGTTTGTTTAATTTTTAATTCTAGTTTTAAGTTCTTTAATTACTTGTTTGAGCTCTTTAAGTTTTGACTTCAATAACTGTTCTTGCAAAATTTTCTGCTTCAGTTCAAGTTGATATCTTCATTAAAAATTCTAGTTTCTAGTTTTTAGTTTTGGATTTAAATTGCTGCATAATAGATTAGAATTTAAGTTTTAGTTTTCAGTTTTCAAAAGTTAACTGCATTCTGTTATTGTTTAATTTACAGCTTTAAATTTCTGCACTAGTTTATTTTTTGTTTTACCATACAAATCTGTTTTACATTTAGTTACTGCATTAGTTGTTTAATTTATTTATGCATATACTTTTTAACTATTGCATTAGGTTTTAATCTACTGCATCATATTTAAACTCTGTTTCTACATTTCTGAATAGTTTAAATTTTCTATTTTACATATTAATTCTTTTACTGTTTTGATTATTAATTTCTAGCTTTTGGTTTCAATTAATTTTAGGTAGTTGTTGCTTTAATTGGTTTGCATGTTTAGATTAATTTGGTTACCGCATTTGATTAGTTTGGCTTAGTTATTAAATTTTTGGTTTGCATAGTAGTATAGTTAATTGCTTATTTTTTATTTGTCTAAATATAATTAAAGTGTTTTAATTTCGGTACTTAGTATTAACTCCGTTTACAATCTCTGTTAAAATGATACTCTACTCATTCTATATTGCTTGTTATGATCCGTGCACATGCGGTATCAATCAAGTTGATTGATTTAGACATTGACCACAGTTTTCAGATTGATCAGGTTCGCTGAAAGGCAGTTAAAACAGTCCTAATAAAATGCTAAAGAACATCAAGGTATGCCCTCACCCATAGTGCCTTCACCAGCATGAGCCCCTGCAATCCCAATACACGAATATAAAGAAACTTCATCCACCTTCAGCTGGTCATAAGCAAGGTAGATGTCTTCGATAGAAGCAGCCTCATATAGAGAAGTAAGCTCTTTGATGCACGAAATGCCCTGAATTCCAAATAAAGAAATAGGGAATTAATTACCATGAGACTAGTAATAAGAAATTAAACACAAAAGTAGAAGTGACAAATTTGGGTATATCTGTTTCACACTAAAGTAAGTTTCAAACATAAAAAAGAATGATGTATTGAAAAATAAGACTATAATAACACAATGTAAAGACTGAACCATCAGATTTCAATGCACCTTTCTTGGAACAGAGGAAGCTTGTAAGTGAGCCAACAATCCAAGCCAATAGGCATTTGACTTAATTTCTGCTTCATGTCTCATTAAAAGTGTCCGCTTTGCCTGCAGATGTAAGGATTGCATTTATAAACTTCAACAATTGAAAACTGGCTTTTGTAAATTATGCTTTTTTTCACCTGAACCACATACTTGCACAACAATTTAAATTACATGGTAACATAAAAAAACATGTAATAGTTGTATGAGAACTACCCTATCCAGTTCCCGTGGGGCAATCTTGTTGGTATGCAAACCTCTAAGAACGTTCTTGCAAGCATCAACAGCTTTAAATACCTGGAAGTTAATCAGCCAAAAATTGGTGATGTCAAAAAGACAAATAATAATAAGAACCAGAAAACAACAAAAGAATGCAGATGTATCTTGATTGACTACCCACCTTGCTTGGAGTTGATGTTACAGATATCACATACCATCCAAGCTTAAGTCGATCAAAGAGCTTCAATTCAAATGATACATCATATGTTAATCCAAGAGAATCCCGGACTGTTGTAAAAAGCCTGTGTCACGTATGGGACAATTTGCATCAGGAAATTGCCAAAAACATATATGGATCTGTAAAGTATACTCTGAAAAGGGGTAAAAATGTTAAACTCTTAAAAGATGAACAAAAATTTGAACTAATAGTTGCAGGAGGAACAAGCCTAAAACTCCTGATTGTAATTTCACAGTTCAGGACTTGTGTCATCTAACAGCAAAACAAGGTACAAGTTGCTGAAAAACCTAGAGTTGAACAGTTGGCAGCAACTAACAAATGCATTTTGGATTAATTCTGCTTCACTTGCTCACTACATGCAGTTGGCTAAGAAGAATTACCTAGAATTTATAACCTCAGCCAGAAGCCCCATTGTTATACCAAAGAAAAGTGGATGGCCGCGAAGCTTTCTTCGCAGATCCTTCTGAACATCTTTTCCCTCAGAATCGGGTTGTGCATCTGCAAAGCAATTGAGCCATAAAATATGAAAAGAACATTAGTTTAAATTTCAAGTAAAATACACCTCATTTTACATAAATATCACAGATAATTTATTTGAAAATATATCATATATCATTTTTTTTTCATTTAAAAATTATTTAACTCATGTTCTGCTATATAGACAAATCCATCTGCTCATACCTAAATGAGCACCCTTCTGACTCACGAGGAAACCAAAAACATTGGAGATGAGAGGAAGGGAAAGACAAAGCAACTCTTATAACACTGACTTAACGCCACCAGTTCAACCACCATTGACCTAGCAACTTATAAAGCCTAAACCATGTTAACCTCCAAAGACTGAGCTCAAGTTGTTAGTAGTGATTGACTAGAAACCTTTTATGGGTCTCATAACTCACATCCATATCCATTGTTTGGTGGCTGGTGGGCTATTACAAGTCATACATCCTACATTTTCATCCACACAACAGCCAGGTTGATTGCATAGCTTTGAAGTCAGAAACTCTTCAAACCTTCTAACTATTCATATATTAGTATTAAGATTGGAGACTACGCAACTTTGCACTCCCTAGCAGTCCAGGGAGATAAAGACTTGAGGTGGAGAAATAATATCCAGTTCTACACATCACTAGGGAACTCACCATCAGCAATTGGAACATCACCAGCTGACTCCAATAGGTCTTTTCCATCAACGGTAAAACCCCAACGATTTGGTGCAGGGCCTGCAATATATGCACATGCCCTTTCATCAGTATCCTTCAAGAATACCTATTTGAAAGAAAATAAACACATTAGGTTAAATAAAAAAAAATTCAGAACTTCTCAGAAGAAGCCAAATGGGCTGCATGGGTAAATGCACAGATGAATTGCCGACATTTGTTTCCAACATATCGCAAATACATGTAACTACAAGCTCAGCAATGATCTCACTTGTTGAAACTGCAAGTCAGATGGAGAAGGTCGAAACAAGATTGGACTAAATCCATGCTCTCTCTCAGCGTCTCTTGATGCTCTAACTGTTCCCAGATAATCAAGAATACAAGACTCAATCTCCTCCTCTGAGAAGTCCCCTACAATACTTACCTGAAAGATGAAGACAAACAGATTTAAATCGAAAAGAACTCTCATGTTGAGTATCAGCTTCAGTAACAAGATTTGAGAGTGAAAATATTTACCTCCATATTATCACCAATAAACTGATTCATCACAGCATCTTTTACAGATTTGAGTGTTAAAGTTTGTAATGATTTTGGAGTAGGTTCAACAAAGCGCTCATCACCATTCATCATTGCTAACATGAGTTTGTGAGCAGTTGACCGTTCCAAACTCTTCGGAATGGACCGGTAGTACGATAAATACAATTGTCTAGCTCTATCAAATGCATCTTCAAGCCAGACACTATGCTGCAAATTAGAAGCCAACATCATATACTTACAAGACAGTAAGTATCATTACATCTGAATTTTATGATGAAAATTAAGTATTCCATACAAGAGATGACTCTTTCCCAGCATTAATATTTGTTGTACCACTAGATAACTTGTAAATAAAAAGGAAATATCCAGCGTATATAGATATAATTATCAACATGGTGATACCTCAAGCACCATATGAAGTAACTGGAAAGCAGCATGCATCCCGTTGTCTCTCAGAGTAAAACGGAACTCCATTGAAATGAATTCCTCAGTAGACTCCAAGGAGCAATTTATCAGGTGATTCACACAAAAAAGTTCTACCTGGGGAATCACATCAGATACATAATGGGGCGGAATTAAAAATGCTGAGAATTTTTAATGGGATTATAACAGCATGCCAATAGTAGCAATCAGAATGGTTACAAGTCCAATTATAATTAGTCACTATTGACAGAGCTGAGAGAATAAAAAATATGATCATCAAAAAAGGATGAGGGCAAGCAATAGGTAGTTTTACTCAACTTTTTATTTTAGTAAAAGAAACAAAATATGCCATAGTTAATCATCATGGCATTTCCATCTTTTTTTTTTCTTCTGTCAACCATTATTTAAACCAGTTAAATTAAACTCAAAGAAAGTACAAAGCCAGGAAAATAATTATTCTCACAGTTTTTCAAAAAATATCTGTTTAAGATGTGATAAGAACAGGATAAAAATGACCTGTTCCCTTGAAAAGTTGCCAACACAACCACTCTCACTGAGAGTTCGGACTCCTACAATTACAGCTCCTTTTGCATCAGAAGTTTCAGCTGCTCGTCCCCCACCAACTATGAGCCGCATTACACCTCCCCGGGCTTCATTTTTTGAAATCTAAACAAGGACAAAGGTTTAATATGGATATATTTATAAATAATCGCTGTGAGAGAAATACATGTCCAATTGACCAGACACATATTGTTGGGTTTAAATATGATTAACACATCCATAAACAGAATAATTGGATACCAAATATCATCAGCCAATCAAATAGTAACTAGTTGAGGTAGTCATGCAAAGAAACATACTCTGAATTTGAGATCCGTAAATAAATATCGTCTATAATTAACAGTCCAAAAATCTACCTGCCTTGACAATAAATTAGTGTCAAGGAAAAAGGAAAATTTAATGAATACCCAAGGATAAGACATCTCAACAATTAAATTTAAAAACACACAAACAATGTACACACATTAAGCAAAAAATGAATATCTATTTGCCTAACCAGGACTTAATCTTCTGGAAACAACTACTACATGGAAATACAAAATACTCAAATCCACTCTTATCAGATGGTACTATTAAACAACAAACAACCATTATTCCTTTTTAATTGGTCAAACAGTAACTAAAAGCAACAAATGCAAGGCATACCCTATAATTTACAGGAATTCCATTAGAAAGACGGCGTTGAGTGATCCCTGTTTCCTTGTCTTGAACTTTTGTGACATTTATTTCAGGACTAAGTGGGATAAAAGAAGGCCTCTGCTGCATCCTTAACTCTTGCAACTGCACTGGAGATATTAATTCTTTTGGCACCTCAAGCTGCAGAAAAGAAAAAACACTTTGCAGTAATGTTACTTGAATATACAACTTCTGCAAAGATAATCTAAGCAAACAAAGTTCAGAGTGGCACTTAAAAAGGATATAGAAGAAGACCTCAGGCTCAGCTTCAATGGTTTCTTCCAATCCTGACTTTATAGCAGCCATTATCTCGCTTGAAGTTATCTTAAATTCAGTTTCACCAATGCCATCAACATGAACTTTCTTTGGAACACATGCAACAACAGCTGCTGGAAGAGATGCAGTAGGTTTTCCAAAATCAGAGATAAATTCTAATACCTGTGCACCAATAGAGTTTACCTACACCACAGAATGGTAAAAAAAATGTTTGTAAGGACCCCCTTTTTTTTTTATAAAAATGTCAAATTGTGACATAAATTGCTAAGTAAAATGCTAAATCACATAATGGAGGTTACACCAGTTTAATTGCACTAGTATTACATGAAAAATCCACATCTATAAACCATAGCAACTAGCTCTGTCATGGTATGAAGGAGACACAAGCCCAGGGCATCACAGGCAAATGGCAATAATAACTGAAAGCCATGGTGTAATTTGTCAGTATACGTCGAAGATGAACAATTTTCACAAAGACAGTAACCTTATGTGCTTAACTGTTTCAAAATATCCTATCACCAGACTTCAACCAACAATAGTTTCACAGCCGTAGATCATACGCTCAACCAAGGACAGATCTAAATAGGAGGGAGTGGGGGCAGCCCCACTATAATCTTAAAATTCTCTATGTTATTATTAAAAAAACTCTCAAAAGTTTTAAAATATTAAAGCTTTGCCCCTACTAAATTGAGGCTCATATAAGAAAACTTTTTATTATTTATCTAGTAAACATACATACATATAAACTTCGTAGAAAAACAATACATAAGTAAATCACTTTTAGAATGCATATAAATAACATATAAAGCATGAATTAATAAAAATAAAAAACCATCCTTAACTAACAGAGAATTATGTCTTCAATCTTCTTTTCATTGTATATAAGAAAGTAGCATTTGTTATTCTGTAATGAATAAGAACTGAAATATATTTGCACTAAAAGTAAATAATCAAACAAGACATATTGATTTTTATTTTTATTTTTTCAAATATTATATCCATCTTTAAGAATTCTATAAGTAAAATTCTATTAAATTAATACACACACATATTATGTATGTGTGTCAAAAGATGATTTATCTAAAGTATAATAGTGTATATGCAATTTTTGTCAATAACCATATAATTAATTTTAGCTATGCAATATTGTTTCTATTACAAAAAAAAAAAAAAATTGCTTTTTTATATAAAGAAAAAAATTTGTTATGCATGTTAACCTTGTTTAAAATTTTTTTATATTAATTTGTATTTCAATGAAAAATTGTCTAAATTAACTTAAAATATTTTCCCCCACTGACCACAAATCCTGCATCTGTTCCTGCTAAACTACATAGTGCAGATATTCCTTATTAAAACAAAGAAAAATCGAAATGTTAATGTAGAGAATAGAAAGCATGAAGAGCAGTCCACTGCCAAAGAGTAGAATTATTATCAGTGAACTTACTTCATCAAGAGTAACTGTTCCAGCAACAGCCACCAAACTCTCATGTCCTTGTCTCTGATCCATAACTGTATGGCCTAGTGCATCACTTTCCATAATAAAATCCAAATTGTCAACTGATGACACATTGTCAATCATTGCTGCCAGCTGTTCACTATCTTTTAACAGTGCATTCATATAGCGAGTCAATTCTCCCTTAGTAACACCAAATTCCTTGAGCCTTCGAACCTGTGACCAACAAAATATATTAGGATTTAAAGCCATTTGATGTGAATCCATCAAAATAATAATCTAGCATCACCCCAACAATAACAAATAAAGAAGGAAAAGTAGAAGGTAACAAGAGGACAACATTGTGTTATTTATCCCATAGCCAATAAGAGAATCACAATGATTACCCAACTGCATCATTCACCAATGAAGCAATCAGGTAAGATCAACAGAAGAAAATAGAAGACTGTGAATGATAAAGAAACACAAACCTCATGAACAGCAACCTTAATTGCACTCTGCCAATTCTTGGGCTCTGCTGTGACTGTAAGAGTTGTGACAGTGCATCCTTCCCTTCCTGAATCACTATGGTCCAATTCAACTGAAGTAAATGGTGGATTTGAACTCTGGCAACTTACATAAATTAGCCAAAATTTTCAAAAGCAAAGTTTATGTGTTCTTGACTTGGAAGTGGGAAGGATGGGGGGTGGCAATACACAAAACAGGCAATTCAACTTCTATATTATATTGCTTTAGGAGGTGAACTTGAATTCAGCTGCTAATGATTCACCACTCAAAATGCCTTCCAAAAGAAGATAAGAGAAACAAAAGGTTGAAATTCTAGAAAAAGGGCAGAAAATAGAGTACAAACAGATTTATAAAGCAACTTAACTTGATCTGATTTCTGAAAAAAAAAAAATCGCTGTAATTTGCCACACTGTTTAACCTCTGAGTAAAACTTTCCTCAAAATAAGTAATTCACCCCCTGCATACTTAATATTTACCTTATAACCCCCACCAGTTAATAAGAGCCCATTTGGCATTACGATTGGAGTTACAGTTCATTGCAATTGTAAACACAATGCCCAAAAAAAAAAATTGAGATGAAAATCCAGACTTAACGGAATGTGTTCTCAGTCACAAAAGCAGATAGGGAATAGCAATTGCATGCCGAATTGGGACTAAACAAAGCTTTACTTGGGCAACTTAAAGGTGACATGATAAGAGTAATTTCAGAATTAATCAACCATATCATGGCATTTAAAAAATAAGGCAAATTCTCTGGGTAATAAAGACTAAAAGGGGTGAAAGAAGCTTGGAGAATCAGCACACCTTGTATCTTGTATTAATCCGAAAATGCAAGGAAGACAAAAATATTCTTTTCATCAGAACATTTCTCAGGTCCCCAAAAGTGTGGACCTTGTTCACAGGAATCTGCAGGAAGATTCACAACACAATATCTGAGACAAATGCCAGGAAATAGGCCTAGTTGTTCAAGTGTCAATGGGAATGGATAACAATACAATTTAATAAGGGAGAAGATAGACTATCATACAAAAATGAAGTAATGACAATGCACTAGGAGAACACCATACATCTACTAATGAATTAGGACATTGGTTTTTTTCTGGGAATGGTATGAGATAATGAGAACCTGGATGTCAATACAACTAAATTCTACACGAACAGAAAACAAAAGCATCTAAAATTTTTGCTAGCAGAACCATCTAATCAGGAAAGCGCAAACTGCCAGTTTCCTGCTTACAATACTCAACATAATTACATAACAAATCATATGTTTGGAAGCGGAAAGTGCAACTCTTGTAAAGCAATCACACTCCCTAATTAGAATAAAAGTAGAGCTGCAGAGCAGGGACACCAATTAAAATTTAATTGGAGCAAAAAATCAGAGAATTTTTGGCCACAAGGTCTTAGTACAGCAGCACAACATGGACATGTATTCCTATGAAAATATGTTGACAACAAGAAGGAGACTATGAAGATTTTAACACCAGAAAAACAGACAAAAACACTCACAAAACAAGCAAAATTTTCCAAACCTTGCAGAACATGTTAATTGAAAAATTCTGAAGCAACTCATGCTGAAATATCTGCGGAGGCTTCATGTCTGTATTATGTCCGGGGAGAGACCAATTGTGCTTTATGGGAGGATGAACAGCATGCCTTTCCTTTTTAACAATCTTAGATTGATCTGCAGAATTAGATGAACTTTCATAAGATAAACTTCCAGCAAACCCAGCTGAGAGCTTAGGAACGAGAAATTTAGCCATGGCACCAAATGCACTAGAAGTAGGTGGTGAGGCTGTCTGATTTTTAAGGCCAGTTTGTTCAAAAACAGCCTGCATGGAATCAAAAGATTGCAGTCAAGAACCAGGATACTGCTTCTTAAGACAAAGGACACAAGTAATAATAACTAAACAGCTTGTGCCATACTTCAATCTGGTAAATTGTCTTTGAGATATTATCAATGTCCCCCACAACGTACAAAGTTGCATTAGCAGGGAAATACCACCGTTCATGAAATTTTCTTATTTTATCCGCATCCCACTTCTTAATTTGCTCTTCTAATCCAATTGGAAATCTTTTGCTTAGCTTGTTTTCAGAATGCAGATGTTGTAATAACTGCATTCAAAAGAAAGACATAATGCTAGATATAAAAATTTGAGAAAACATGGAATAATAAGCAGCTAAACCATAGAAGCACCCTGATTAGCACCTGACAGTCAACACGGTACTCTATTGTATTCATCATCTGTAATTCTGAAAGTATAGCCCGCCTCTCCTTTTCAACCCGAGAAGAAAGGAATTTTGGATGGAAAGCTATCTGTAAGCATGAAATGTAAAAGATAACCGACATGTTTTCAGTGTCATTAAGAGATTTTTTTAGGGAAGGGTGGGAGTGGGGTGGGAAATGGGAAGGGAGAAGAAGAAATCCAGTCCAGCTGGGATCACAAAAGCACTAAGTCCTTATCATTCAATTTGGCCAAATTATCTTCCAAAAAAAGGTTTTGATGTAGCTGAGTTTCATACCTCATTCAACGCATCCAGAACAAGTGGAAGCAAATCTTCATCAGAGTCCTGGTAACAGCAAGCCAATCACCATCAAATATTTAAAAAAAAAAGAAAAAAACATATTGTACGTATAAACCAGCCCCTTTAACCAACATGCAGTTTGAAAATATCATCAGATAGCTCTTCCATTAATCATTTCACAGATTGTCAGGCAAATGCAGAAAGGTAAAATAGCTATGCTGAAGCAAATATTATATTTGTTTAACTTCTTCTGTTGGCCCATGGCAAAAGAAGAAATTATAGAACAGAGAGAAGAAAATCAGACGTTAGAAATATATACCAAGATAAAGCACATGACAAAGACTTAAATAAATATACATACAAAGAGTGGCAAATTACAATATCTTAAATCCCTGAGCAAGAGAAAAGCAAAGTCTATACAATTGAATCAGAAAGCCAATGTTGATGAGCAAACATATAGAAAAGGAAAAGGACAAACCTTGGTACAAGTTGGTGAATGGATGTGAAAAACTGTATGTTGGAAATCAGTGTAAGCATTTGAACGAGCCCCGGTACCAAGAAGTTTCTCACGTTTCTTGCTTCCAAGGAATGCGACATGTTCGATCATATGTGCAATTCCTTGCTCATCATCTTCCTCATCAATTGATCCCACATGAACCTCCATATGTGCTTCAAACCTAAAGTTGGTTTAAAATATTATTATGTAAATGCAAGAGAGACAGAGAATATGACATTATTCAAGAGTCAAATTTGAAGTTTTTGGATATTTAAACACATGCCAATTATCATGCTTTTAACATCATAAAAACCGTTAACATGTAAAAGAAGCTGATTTTGAAACTCAAGATTATTCTGAATTGTGATTACAATCTGTCTATGCCTAATAAGAGAAGAAAGCCTGAAAATTATGCTCATGGTATTCAATGATTTAACACCCAAGAAGAAAGGGAAAATAAATATTGTTGCATGGACTAATAAATGCCAATCAAGATGGGGTATGAATTCATCTCAGAATTCTTTTATATCCTTAAAAACATGTGGTTGCGAATGTTGAGAGGGTATTATACCTGTTTGGTGGGACTTTATTCGGCAAAATAAGGTAGCGAAGGCCATTTTTCAATTGTCCTCGATGTAACATTGGGTGGGAAGGAAGTTTGGTAGATAAAAACCCCTCTAATTCAGTTGTTTGTAATTGAGGATAAAATGAATCAAAATCTTGTTTCTCCAGAAGAGCATCTGGCCAGGTAGTACTTGCTGCATGTGGTTCATCTGGACCAACAGTAGCACATGGAGCACAAATACGGTTGCCCTGAAAATCATTATTAATAAGATTAAAGAATTGAATAAAACGACACTCAGGGAATTGAAAGCAGCAAAAGTAACAAACACTTACAGAAGCGGTGTTGAGTGTGTGTATGGAGAGAGGAAAGCAAGATTTATCGAGAAAGAATGTTGGTGCAGATCTTGTGAGAGGAAAGGAAGTTGTCTTCTGGTAGCAGTTGCGGCTAAGGTGGGAGCAGTAGGGGATCCACTTTTTGAACTGTTGTGAGTGTGAGACAGGGGGATTCCATTTCCATGCTTTGGGAGCATCGCTCTTCTTCTTTCTAATACTATTATTATTCTTATTCTGGAATGCCAATCCAATAGTATTTCTATTTCTAACTTCACCTTTCCACCTTCATCCGCCCAAATATCCCAATTTTAGACAAGGGTTCGTTGACTTGAGAATTGAAATAGTATTTTTACTTAAATTAAGAAATCTGATACATGAAAACTACTAATATTAACTACAATTAGACATAATAAATACACCACTAAAAAAGAAATTAGTGTTGTGAAAAAAATTCACAGATTAGTGTTTGCGGAGTACTTGGTAATGCAAATTAAATTCGAATTTAAAAGTAAAATAGACTTTACCTGACAGCTGCAGGGGTTGGACTCGGTGGGAGATGGAAACGGGTGAAAGGCAGAGAAGCAGCTGGAACAGGAATGTTAACCCTAACTATGCTTCTACGCCCTCTGGAACTGGAAGAGTCCCATCGTTTTATGGACACCACTGATGAGCTTGACGACGATGCCATCGCTCGCCCCCTGCTGCAGTAACTGCGATTGGCAATTTATATTATCTGGGAATTCAAGATGATTAACGAATTTGAGAGATTTTGCAACAATAAATAAATAACTGCTACTAAATCCTTTTTTGGTTTTTCGATAGACGAGACGACGTCGAAGAGACTGATGGCCTTAGAATATAGATGGTACCACATACGTTCCACGTTCTCATGTTTTCAACCAAAAAACTTTTTTCGAGCGAACAGCCGATGCCATACATATTTTAGGCAAGGAAAAATCATGCCTGACGTCACAATCGGGGTGGCCCACCATTTACAAAACTGCGATCCACAACATAAATTTTGTAAATATACTAAGATTTTTTTGAGTTTTTGCTTTTTTGACATTTTTTTATTCTTTATTAGGGTTCCACGCGATTGTTTCCTAATTTTCTGTAGCTTTTTGTTTTTTCAACAATATTTTTATTCTGTAAACATATCTTAAAAAAATATGGAGTTAATTAATTTTTTATTTAACTTAAGTCAAAATAAGAGAGAAATTAGTCAAAGTTTTAGATGATAAATTTATTGATAAGATAAATTTTACGTTAATAAAGTTATACTAGTAATCTTTTTAAAATTGATTTAAGGACAAACGTTATGAATGATTATAATTTAATATTTTTTATTCTTTATTTATAAAAAAACACTACATTTTTATTCTTTGAAATATAGTCATAATTTGATCCATATTGTGTTAAGTTTGATTTGTCATGTTGTAATTTATATAAATTGCATTTATGATGTAAGTAACGTAGTAATTAATGAAATTTTAAAAAAAATGTTTATGATCACTAAAAGTGTAGCATTTAGGGTACAAAATTCATGTTTTTTAATTTGAAAACATTTTTGATAATTTATCCCAGACCATGTCTTTTTCTTTTCAAATGTGGCTGACAATAATGTTAGATATAAAAATTTGTTTACTCCATTCCCTATGTTAGAAACATAATGTTTAGAGATTAAATACCATGTTTTTATAATAATAAACATTTGTTGTTAGAATTTGATCTACAAGACTTTGCATTGGAGGTGTTACATGGGTGTTTCTTGGTTCTCTTCAAGTTTTCAGCTTTTGGCTTCTTTTTTTTTTTTTTTCTAATTCTTCGTTGGGTTTTCCACATTGTTGTTTATTAGTTTTCCTTAATATTTTTCCTTTTTGGCATTTTTTATTTTTTTAAAATATTTGACAAAAATATAGTTATAATTCGTTTTTTATTTAACTTAAGTCATAATGTGACATATGTTAGTGGAAGCTTTAGGTGGTAAATCTATAAATAAGATAAATTATGTATTAATAAAGTTGTACTGGTACCCATTTGAAAACTGATTTAGGGATAAACGTTGTGGATGATTGTAATTCAATATTTTTTTAATTATTTTTTATAAAAAAAACTTTATTTATGTTTTTAAAATGTGGTGGATTATTTATTCATACTGTGTTGAGTTTTATTTGTCACGTTGTAGTTATATTAACCACGTTTATAATGTGGTTAACATGGTGATTAATGGAGTTTATAAAAAAAATGTTTATAACATTTAAAACTATTGTGCTCAAGGTATGAAATTCAAGTTTATTAATTCAAAAATGTCTTTATTGATTTCTCTAAGATTATGTCTTTTTCTTTCCAAACATGGTTGATAATAAATAAAATGTTAGATGTAAGAATTTTGGTGTTGCAGTTATCCAAAGTAAGGGACTCTTTATTGAGTCTGCCACATAGTTGTTCTGTAGTTCTCTTTTTTTTTTTTTTTTGCTTTTTAGTTTTTTTATTTCTTAAATGTTGTATGTTCATTTCATGGATGTCATTTCTTTTTTTTTTCTTTTTGGCTTTTTTTTTAATTTGAGAAAAAGGGAGGATGGTTGTTGTTTGATTTAACTAAAGTGAGAATAAAAGAGAGGTTGGTAGAAGGTTTAGGTGATAAATCTATATTGATAAAATTGTGTTCATAGCCTTTTGAATACTCATTTGAAGAGAAAAGTGGTGGGTAATTGTAATTCTATGTTTATTTTTTTTATTAAAAAAATTACATTTTTGTTCTCTTAACGTACTAGATTATTTGATTTATACTTTGCTGAGCTTGATTTGTTACGTGGTATTCTCTCATTATAGGGTTTTTCACATCAAACATGTTTATAATGTTAGTAATGTAGTAATTGATTTTATTTAAAAAAGTTATTTACGATACTTGAAAACTGTAACATTTGGTTACAAACACCACATTTATTAATTAAAATACGCATTTGATGCTTATTCAAGATTACATATTTTTTTTGGAAACGTAATTAATAATGAATAAAAAATGTTAGATGTAGGAATTGTTATAAAATAATTGTTTCCATTTATTCAAGCTTACTCGAAATAAAATAATAGTGATTTATTAATATTTCAAAACTTATAGAATAAGAGATTCAAAAAATAAATCTATTTACCAAATAAGTTCAAATAGCTATAACTATTTAAACAATTATCTATTTCAAATCATTATGACATTTGCTTAGTCATTAAACAATTATTTCTATTCATACAAGATTATTTAAAATAAAATAATATTAATTTATTATTATTTCAAAAATTAATAAGAGATTTAAAAAATATTCTAATTTATCGAAACAATTCAAATAATTATGACAATTTAAAAAATTAACTACTTCAAATCATATTGACCTTTTGTTTTGTCATAAAACAATTATTTTTATTCATAAAAACTCATTAAGAATAAAATAATACTAATTTATTAATATTTCAAAAATTAATAAGTAAGAAATTAAAAAAATAAATCTGTTTATTGAACAAGTTCAAATAATTATGAATATTTAAATAATCATCTATTTCAAATCGTTATAATATTTGTTTAATAATAAAATAATTATTTCCATTCAAATAAATTTATTTAAAAAAATATTAATCTATTAATATTCAAAAAATTAGTAAGTAAGATATTTGAAAAATAAAAATATTTACCAAACAAGTTTAAGTAGTTATTACCATTAGAACAATAATTTTATTTCAAATCGTTCTAACTTTTTTTTATCATAAAATAATTGTTTCTATTCACAAAATCTTATTTAGAATAAAATAATATTTATTTATTAATATTTCAAAAATTAATAAGTAAGAGATTTAAAAAATAGATATATTTATCAAACAAGTTCAAATAGTTATAACTATTTGAAAAAATATCTATATCAGATTGTTATGACCTTTGTTTAGTTATAAAACAATTGTTTCTATTAATATAAGTTTATTCGGGTTCCAAAAATTGATAAGATATTTAAAAAATAAATTTGTCTACTAACCAAGTTCTAATTGCTATGACTATTTGAATATTAACTATTTCAAATCGTCATGATCTTTGCTTGGTCATAAAACAATGTTTCTACTCATATAAATTTATTCAAAATAAAATAATAATTATTTATTAATATTTCAAAAATTAAGGAGTAATTGATTTACAAAATATACTAATTTATCGAAACAATTCAAATAATTATGATAATTTGAACAATTATTTATTTCAAATTATTATGACCTTTTGTTTTGTTATAAAACAATTGTTTCTATTCATATATGCTTATTCAAAATAAAATACTACTAATTATTCTAAAAATTAATAAGAGATTTAAAAAATAAACTTGTTTACAGAAACAATTTAAATAGTTATGACTATTTGTATAATTAACCGCTTTAAATTATTATGACCTTTTGGTTTGTCATAAAATAATTATTTTTTTCATACACACTTATTCGGAATAAAATAATACTAATTTATTAAAATTATGAAAATTAATAAGTAAGAAATTTAAAAAAATAAATCTATTTACCGAACTAATTTAAAATAGTTATGATTATTTGAATAAATTTTTATTTCAAATTGTTATACAACCTTATTTGAATTAAACTAATATTAATTTATTTCTTTTCAAAAATTAATAAGTAAGAGATTTAAAATATAAATATGTTTTTTGAACCAATTCAAATAATTATGAATTTTTTGAATAATTATTTATTTTAAATCATTATGACATTTTGTTTCATTATGACATTTTGTTTCATTATAAAACAATTATTTCTATTTTCACTAGCTTATCCATATTTTAAGCTTAGTATTTATAAATAATTGTAATTATTTATAATTATTTGAATTATTTTGGTAAATTAGTATTTGTTAAAATCTTTTACTCCTTAATTTTTGAAATATTAATAAATTAGTATTATTTTATTTCTAATAAACTTGTATGAACTGAAACAATTTTTTTTAACTAAATAAAAGTCACAACAATATAATTATTGCTCAAACCATATATATTATTTGGAATTAATAAGAGATTTAAAAAATGAATTTGTTTACCTAACATGTTCAAATCATTATGACCTTTTGTTTTGTTATAAAATAATTATTTATGTTCTAATAAGCTTATTTGGAAAAAATAATGTATTAATATTCAAAAAATTAATAAGAAAGAGATTTAAAAAATAAATCTATTTACCGAATAAATTTAAATAGTTATGATTATTTGAACAATTATTTATTTCAAATCATTATGACCTTTGTTTAGTCATAAAACAATTGTTTCTATTCGTACAAATCTATTCGAAATAAAATAATACTAATCTATTAATATTTAAAAAATTAAAAAGTAAGATATTTAAAGAAAAAATTTGTTTACTGAATAACTTCTAAGGGTTATGACTATTTGAACAATTCAAATACTTATGACTATTTAAATAATTATCTATTTTAATAATTTACCTAAACAAGTCAAATACTTATGACTATTGAAACAATTATCTATTTCAAATCGTTATGACATTTTGCTTTGTCATAAAACAATTATTTTTTTCCATACAATCTTATTCAGAATAAAATAATACTTCTTTATTAATTTTTTAAAAATTAAAAAGTAATAGTTTTAAAAATAAATATAGTTTTCAAATTAGTTTAAATAGTTATAATTATTTGAACAATTATCTATTTCAAATCGTTATGACTTCTTGTTTTTTTCATAAAATAATTGTTTCTTTTCATACAAGTTTATTGAAAATAAAATAATATTTCTTTATTAACATTTTAAAAATTAATAAGTAAGAAATTTAAAAAATAAATATGTTTTTTAAACTAGTTCAAATAATTATGACTTTTTTGAACAATTATTTATTTTAAATCATTATGATATTTATTTCGTCATAAAATAATTATTTTTATTTACACAAGCTTATCCAGGTTTTAAGCTCAGTATTTATAAATAATTATAATTATTTATAATTATTTGAATTATTTTGATAAATTTGTACTTTTAAAATTTT